AAGCTCATCGCACCCATCGCCAACGCAGCACCCAAGTGACCCGTCTGTGTGTCCCCCCAGGGACGCAAGGAGCCAGAGGAGCCGCCTGCCCACATCTACCTCAACATCCAGGAGCTGCAGGAAGAAGCCGCAGCCACCAGCTCAGTGCCAGAGGAGCCTGGCGGCTCCATGTCAGACTGGGAAACCCACACGGATACGGACAGTGGACATTTGTTTTATTATAACCCGGTGACGGGCGAGACCACGTGGGATTGTCCCTTTGGGCAGGCAGAAGATGGAGTGAGTCCCGTCGCCTCTCCCGCCTCCTCAATCGCCCACAGCCCGGAGTTTCCCGAGTGGGAACAGTACGTGGATGAAGGCAGCGGACAGGCTTTTTTCTATAATTCGGTAACAGGTGAGACGTCGTGGGACCCCCCAAACGCGGGAGACAGAGGCAGCTCCCAGGATATGTACCCTGGGGTGACGCGGTACGGTCCCATGGAGCAGAGGGTGAGCACCCAGCGAGGCGAGGGGATGATGAGGATGGGGATGGGGATGGGGATGGAGATGGAGATGGAGATGGAGATGGAGATAACGAGAGGTTTTAATCAAACCGTCGCGCCGTGCTAAGTCAGATGCCTTGCAGAAATCTGATTACCCTGTATCATCATGGGTGTCTTTATCAGCCAGACCTGAAATCTGCTTGGGGATGGGGGTGGGGATGGAGATGGAGATGGAGACGGAGATGGAGATGGAGATGGAGATGAAATGGAGATGAGGATAGCATGATGGGGATGGATGAGGATGGGAATGGAGATGGAGACAAAGATGGACATGAAGGCAAAGATGGAGATGGATATGGAGACAGAGACAGAAATGGAGATGGACATGATGGGGATGGAGATGGAGATGGAGACAGAGAAGGAGACAGAAGTGGAGATGGAGATGATGGAGATGGGGCAGCCCCCACCTGGGCTGGCCATGGCTTAAGGATGCGGATGCTTTTGACGGGACACAAGATCTTGAACTGGCTCTTCTCTCCAGCCACCCACTCCAGAAACGGACTATCCTGACCTGTCTCCAGATGAACTGGAGGGTTATCCTGAGGAGGACTACTCACCCGTGGGCTCCTACGATCAGGGGGCTGCTCTCTCTCTGTCCCCGAGGCGCCCTGAGGAGCTGGGCTCATCCCCGGGCTGGTACGGGCACAGCCACCCCGAGGGAGCCGTGTTCTGCCCCGAGCATTTCGCCTCCGACACGGTACGGGGACAGGGACGGGATGGGGATGGGTACATGGACAGGGACAGGGATGGGGACAAAGATGGGGACAGAGGATGAATATCCTCACAGGGCCACAAAAGCAGAGGACAGGGGCTCTGCCCAGCGCCCATCCGGCACGGACACCTCGGGCATCACCCACTCCCTCCCTCCCCAGGCGCTGACGGGCAGCCGCCACCACCGGGCCAGCAGCAGCCCCCGCCAGGGCAGCGGGCGCTTTGCCTGGCCCAGCACCGTGCCGTCGCCGCTGGGGCTCAAGGAGGAGAAGGTGAGCACCCTGGGGAGGGGCAGCCAACCCTTCCCCACCTCGGCACCAGGGAGAGCAGGGGGCGAACCTGACATCCCCCCGCTTTGCCTTCCAGTTTAAAAGCCTCGAAAAAGCCGGGGTGCTCAACCGGACCAGGACGGTGGACAGAGGGAAGCGGCTCCGGTAAGTACATCCCTGTGTCCCCCACCGCTGGAGAAGGGAGCACCAGGGGGGCAGAGGGGACAGGGCTGTGCTGACCCCCTGTGTCACCCCCCGTCTGCTCCCCAGGAAGAACTGGAGCTCCTCCTGGACGGTGCTGGAGGGTGGGATCCTCACCTTCTTCAAGGACTCCAAGCACTCGGCTGCCGGTGCCTTGGTAAGAGTCCCCCAGCCTCATCAGGGCCAGTACCCATGGGATGGGACCAGCACCCATGAGATGGGACCAGCACCCATGGGACAGGGCCAGCATTCATGGGAGGGGGCCAGCACCTGCGGGATGGGACCAGCCCACATGAGATACGGCCAGCACCCATGGGACGGGGCCGGCACCCACGGGATAGGGCCAGCACATATGGGATGGGGCCAGCACCTGTGAGATGAGGTCAGCACCCATGGGACATGGCCAGCACCTGCAGGATGGGACCAACACCCATGGGACAGGCCCAGCACCCATGGGACAGGGCAAGGACCCACAGGATGGGGTCAGCGCCTGTAATATGAGGCCAGGACCCATGGAATGGGTCCAACACCCATGGGATGAAGCCAGCATCCGTGAGACAGGGCCAGCACCCACAGGACAGGCCCAGCACCCATGGGACAGGCCCAGCACCCTGCACGAGGACCCCTCCCAGCACTGGGCTGGGTCCCCGCACACCAGCGCCTGTGTGCTCACACCTCCCGTCGCACACTCGCGCTCCCTCTGTGTGGGAGCCGGGCAGGGGCCGGTGTCGGGGCACCCTAAGGAGCCCACAGAGCTCGTCGGGGCGAGCGGGGAGGAAGCGGTGCCTGACCCAGCCCCCCCCAGCACCCACTGCCCGGATGCAGAAGCTGCCGTGGGTCTTGCAACACCCTGCGGTGGCAGCGGCAGGGGAAGGAGAGGGGACAGACTCACGCCCTCGGGGCGGGGGGGACACACA